GGCTAGTGCGGAGATCGTGGACATTGGAGGCTTCCCCCCAAACCTCGATGAGGTCCACGATCTCTGCACTAGACCACGCGGGCGCCCGCCTCTTGCGGCCCCGGGCAGGGTCCTGGGAGCCGCCAGGCTGGTCCCAGGAAGAGGGGGAGGGCTGGGTGTCATCAGGTGGCTGGCTCATGGGGTGTCAGCTGGTGGGTGTTCTGGCACGGGTGCTGGCAGGCTTGCAACTGGCACAAACACTGTAGCCAGCCCGTGGCCCTTTAAGGGCTCCGGGGCCGGGAGGGGGGCAGTAGAGTTTCCCTGGTGTTGGCCAGAGTGGCCACCAGGGCAAGCTGGGAAGGGCTAGCCTCCCACTAGTTTGAATTAAGGGTCTACACAGCCCTTAATTCGAACTAGCAAGTTCGAACTAGGCTTAATCCTCGTGGAATGAGGTTTACCTAGTTCGAACTAAGCGCTCCATTAGTTCGAATTAAATTCGAACTAATGGAGCGCTAGTGTAGCGCCTATGAAAGTTAGTTCGAACTAACGTCCGTTAGTTCGAACTAACTTTGTAGTGTAGACATACCCTGAGTTATTTTGCTGGGGACAGAAGCAGTGCAGCACAATTTTGTATGTTTGTAGTGTTTTAACTAAATCAGTTTTAAATACCCTGTTATTCAAAACAGTGCAACTTTCTCATACAGATGAAGTCTTAGGCCTGGTCTAAACACACTGACCTAAACTAAAGATGTGCTTTAAAGTCATTCAGATATTGTGTTGTAAAGCTCTGTGTTAGGGTTGCCAGATGGTTTCAACGAAAATACTGGACACACTTGACATTACATCACAATCTACATTACATCTTATTTAGAAAATACTGGACATTTATACTTTCTCATTTATATTTTCTCAATTTGTTTCCCAAACAGAAAGCTCAAATACTAGACTGTCCAGTTTAAACCCAGACACCTGGCAACCCTACTCTGTGTAGACACTCCTATTGATTTAGTTTTGATTTATGGTAGGGGTTACCTTACTTCCCTAGTCCAAATTAAAAAGTTAGGTTGATCCACCTATGTTGCTACAGAGTGTGAAAAATCCATGCCCCTCACCATTATTGTTAAGCCAGCCTAAGCCCCAGGGTAGGCAGTACTAGGTGACTGGAAGAATTCTTCTGTCAGTCCTGCTACCACCTCTCAGGGAGGAGGACTACCTATGTCAATGGGAGAGCAGAAACCCTCCCATCAGCATAGACAGTGCCTGCTCTGAAGCATTGCAGCTGTGCACTTGCAATGTTGCAGCTGTGCTGCTATAGCATTTCAGGTGTACACAAGCCCTAAATTGTACAGGCATGAGCTGAAATGATACAAGCAGTTTTAAATAGGCGTAATCTCTGTATGCAGAAAAGGCCTTATTATCTGAACTTCTCTTGTCGGTGTCATCATTCTATTTAAACTAAGACATATACAAAATATTGGCTTTTACTCCAGAATGCTGCATACAAAATTAACCATCAGCTGTGCAGCATAGCTTGGGGAATCTGAAAGCTGGTGAGTACCACTGGATTTAGAAAGAGAGCCCCCACATGCACTAGTGCATGCTTAATGAAATCTGAGCTAAAAAGACTCTACTTAGCTCTCACTTCAACGGATGCCATCCACCTGTAAGAATATCTTTTTAAAAGCATCCCTTAGCAGATTTTTCATTTGCTGCACATGCCCAGACTTGATTCAAGTGAGTCCCAGAATTTCTGCTTACTTACTGTTGACTGCTTTTGTATCAGCTGCTACTTGGGTTATTAGACAGATGGGAGCACTGATTAATATTTTTTGAGATTTCTGGTTCTCTTATACCTGGCCATTATTTGGTTGTAAAAAGCTACCCAACAGTTCCTTATAGGTGACTATAATAGAGCTGGTTCCATGTCCGAATAAGGCCTGGTCTACACTAAGAAATTCGATGCTGAGCAATGTAGTTAAAACCGACTTAATCCCTGCCCTGACAGCACCGACAGGAACATTCTTCTGTCAACCTAGCTACCGCCCCTTGTAGAAGTACATTTCCTAAGTAGGATTGCCAGATGGTTTAACCAAAAATAGCAAAAACCCCAGCCAAAAAAAACACCACTGGGGAAAAAATTCTGTTGAGGGGGAAAAAAGGGGGGGGGCAAAAAAAGGGCCCCAAGAGTTATTAAGTAAATGAATAAATAAAAACAGCATTAAAACAGAATGGCCCCTTTAAGTATGTGCAGTCAGAATAGGGATAGGAAGAGGGGAGGGGTTGAGCACTAAGACCCAGGGACGGCATTGCTTCCCTTTGCTCAGGTCTTTAGGCATTTTGCCAGTGGCCATCTTGTTTTCTTGGTCGAGCCAGAAGGGAGCTTCCCTGTGGAACCAGGTAAGCAGGGCGTCCGAGGGCAGAGGTCCGGGAGCTCGGGGAGTGGGAGGGGGGTTGCTGAATGTATGGAGGGTTGCCAGGTGTCCGGTATTTTCGCCTCCTGTCAGGGAAAAAAAACAGAAAATATCGGACATTTTAGGTGTCCGATATTTTCTGAATTTTTTTTACTGGACAGGAGGCGAAAATACCGGACTGTCCAGGTCAATACCGGACACCTGGCAACCCCCTATGCTGATGGGTGAAGTGCTCCTTTTGGCAAAGGTAACGTCTTCACTGAAGTGCTAAATTTGTGCTGCTGCGGTGTTTTAAGTGCAGACAAGCCCTTAGACTGGAATGGTTGAAACCTTGTATCATTGACAGGTCATTCTCAATTTAAAGCTATATTAAAGAGGTGGAAAAAAAATCTCATCCAAAAATCTCATCCAAAGACATACCAGCAACACATAGGGCTTCTTTGCTAGTTCTGTTTACTTGGGACTTTTCTATCATTTTGCCCCAAATGTTTGAAAGAGACACAGCATCTTTTGCAATTCAAAATTCCTTTTTCCAGGAATCTTTCTAATTCCTCCATCTGGTCAGAAAACACCAGGGCAGAAATCCTGGAGTCATTGAAATCAACAATAAAACTCCCATTGTTTTCAATGAGGCTAAGATTTCACTCCCGATCTTCTAAAATGTATAAACCTGGGCCTAACACAGGTTTTATTAATACAGTTCTATGGACAGAAATAAATAAATAAAAGAAACCACCTCCTAGCCTTATACAGTGCTTTTTATCAGCAGATTCAAAGGGATTTACAAAGAAAGTCAGTATCAGGATCTTCATCTTATTGATGTAGAAACTGAGGCACACAGAAGGGACACCAGTTTCCCAAAGTCACCTAGCAGGCCTCTCTGGCAGAGCTAGGAATAGGATCCAATTCAGGTATTGATTCTTATTTCATACTGGGATAAAAAAAGAAGCGACATCATTAATTTAAAGGAGTTAGACTGATGTGAATTAAATTAGAATCAGACCCAAAGAATTTTGCTCCACTCAAAGCACTCTTTAATCTGCAACTTTCAGAAAAATCCTTTTGTCTCCTTAACCAGAATTAGTCTTCTGTTTTCTCTGTCAGTCGTGAACTTTGTTCCACACAGGGATACTGAATTCTTCATCGAAGAGGAGCGAACTAAGTCCAGTACTGTTCTTCATATTCTACCAATCATTAACTCTGCAGATGTCTTTCTGGTATTTTTCTTTTGCGTTAAGCCTCTGGTATGTATGCTGTCTTAAAAGCTTTTCCTATTTGTTGAGAAAATAGAAAGAACTTTATAAATGTTGGTGAGTCTTTCCAAAGGCGCTGTTTGTTTGTGGAAGTGTTCTGAAGAGTGTAACACACTGTACCTTACTCCAAGATAACAGAAGAACTTTTCTACTTGGTGAGAAGTGTAATCCTCCTAAAAGCTACAAGTCAGACAGGGCACTGATAGCTTCCTGAGCACAGAACAGACTTTAGTACATGTCTGGTAGTAAATCAGCAGAATTTAGTTACCAGGGTAAAGAGTTTCACAAATAGGTCTGTCAGATGAATTCTCTCTAGGACATTGGCTAGCCCAGTGATTCTCAGGCTATGGTCCATGAATCTCTGGTGATCTGCTGAGAACTAATTAGTCTCAAGGTGCAGTTTTGGCTCCTTTTTTCCAGCCTCTAAATTGTATTCAAAGGCTGCTAAAACACATTACATTTTCCTAATAGGAAAAATAAGCAAATACCATATGGTAGAGGCTACAGGGATGTTATGTGATAGTCAGTTGGAGGGGAAGTATGTGCTGTTGTGAGGAGGGGAAGAAAGAGATACTTAGTAGCATAAATGGGAGGGGAGAGGATTCCTCAGTTCACTCTGTAAACTTGTCCACACTATAAAAAGGTCTGAAAATCCTAGGCTGGATGTATTTTTCATTGTGCATATCAGCAATACATTGTTATGTGTCTCATAGACATAACTGGCCATTAGAGGGCAGCATGCACCTTGAACACCTATTAACAGAATTAACAGCAAACACATAAGGGCTGAGGAAGAGCTGAGACAATCTAAAAAAAAGGAAAGAAAAATCTCACACCAGAAAAGCCATTCTTAGTTAAGCACCTAAACTCAGAGACTACAGCCGTGCAACACTGCGTATTAGAAATAAAAATGCTGTAATGTCTTATCTTTAGATGAGCCAGCCACTACCCTGCCCCCAGCTCCTTGAGATATAAGGGGGAATTAGATTGCTGGCCAACACCGCTGCTGGTTTAATGGCTGAAAGGAGGCCCTCAGTGAAACAGTCACTCCATAGCTCCCCCTCAGGCTTAGGTAATGAAAACAGAAAGAAATACCCTGGCAGGCAACTTTATTTGTTTTACAAGAAGCAATGAAACCTGATCACACCTCCTGGATATAATCTTCATTGCTTTATGCAATCTAGTTCTGATACTGACAGCTTGGCTGCTAAAGAGGTGTGTCATACTCTGAGTACTGTATTAATAGGCTGCCAAATAAATAAGCAACTGCATTTTCCCATAAAACAGACGAAGATTAGTGCTGCTGCTGTTGCTGGAGTTGGATAAAACTATTGATGGCAGACAGGATTCTGAATGTCAATGGGATACGTTTTCCTTTATTCCATCTCTTCTGATCCATTGACATGCAATCCCACAAGTGAAGCATCTCATGTTATATAGATAGGATACACAGTGTAGTAAAGATTTTGTTCAGCTTGCTAGAAACAGTGTATTTGCCCAACCACATTACCAACTTTTAAGAACTTTTGGAGCATAGGTCAGAGATTTGCAGCATAATGTGATAGAAATGATATCAAGTGACAGAGACACCCAGAAAAATCTTTTAGAGTAAGGGTTAAATCCAGAGGCTGCTCACACACTGAGACAAGAACAAAGTGCACACAACATAACAAGAACATTGGTGGATGTCAGGCAAGGAACCACATGCTGTTACAATCAAGTTCTTGGACAGTAGTGAGCCGTACAATACCAGATGAGTACCATGGTTCCGTCCACACAGTGCGAGTGCAACCCAGAATAAAGTAGGTGTGGCTAGCTCGCAGGGTAGCTTCTTCTACAAACAAAACCCCTGATTTGATATAGTCCTAGAGATCCCTCATTCTGATAATGCGTCACTACAAAACAGACTGTAGCAGCACACTACACTGTTTGCCAGAAATGACTTTACCTCCCTACCCCGCAAAACTACCTAAGTGAGATGACAGAACAAATGAAGAGGGCCCCTACCAAGTTAGGGCACAGCTTGGTGAGAGACCAGTGAAGAATGGAAATGAACTCCCTTCTACCCTTGTAGCACACAAACGTGCTGGGCAGACTTACTGCTTGTTCTATCACCAAACTCTGCCTCAGGAAGGTGGAATAATTAAACTTCAGCTGTTCCTGTTCTACCCTCTATAGGTCAGTGGGTTTTTGCCATGGAAGGCATGTCTACACTGCTGTTAAAAACCTGTGGTTGGCCCGTACCAGGTGTCTCAAGCTTGCAGAGCTCAGGCTAAGCGGCTGTTTAACTAACTTTGCTTGAAGTTTGGGTTTTGCCTTGGGTCTGGACTATGGGACCCTGTGAGGTGGGAGGCCCCCAGAGCTTAAAATGCAGCCTGAGCCCAAACAACTACACCACAATTAAACAGGCCTGCCAGCCCCAGGCTTCCGAGCCCAATTCAGCTGGCACAGGCCAGTGGCAGGTGTCTAAATACAATACAGACACATCGTTTCTGACTTGAACATAGGCCCATTATTGTGCATGCATCTGGAGAAAACTCATGCTGGATATCTACTTTATACTCCCTTTTGCATAAAATGAGAATTAGACCTATTGCATGGACACATTTTTTAATGAGACACCATTTTTTAATGAGACACATTTTTTAATGAGACACTCTTGTGAAGATGCATTCTTGCTTTGTCTACAGAACTCAGTGTGTCTGGATGCTCTTTGTCGACAGAAGTTTTGTCGACAGTATCTGTCGACAAAACTTCTGTCGACAAAGAGCATCCAGACACACTGAGTTCTGTAGACAAAGCAAGCTGCTTTGTCGACAGAACCCTGTAGTCTAGACGCAACCCTACAGGCAATAACACCTTCTGTCGACAGAACTCTGTCGACAGAAGGTGTTATGCCTTGTAAAATGAGGTATACCAGCGTCGACAAAACTGCTGAGTTCTGTCGACGTTATGTCGACAGAACTCAGCGGTAGTGTAGACACTGGTATAGTTTTGTCGACAAAAGTCCAGTTTTGTCGACAAAAGTCCATTTTGTCGACAAAACTCAGTAGTCTAGACACACCCATAGGAACAACAGGAGATAAGACTAGAAGGGACCTTCTGGTTCACTGAGACCAGTTCCCTGCTCGCACGGGCAACTCCATCATTTAATCTTATGAATGGGATTATAAAATCCATATTAAAATTAGGGTGTTTTTTTTTTATTTGGGGGGGGTTGGGTTGGGGTTTTTTTTTTTTTTTTTTTTTTTTTTTTTGCCTCTGCTGCGCCTGTTCCCAGGGTAGTGATGTTCCTTACAAAGATGGCAAGCTAAGTATCTCCTGAAGGGATCTATTGCCTTCTCTGCTGCCTGTGCCAGGAGATGTGTGATAAACAATTTGATCATTAGAAACAGCAGTTGCTTATCATGTGGTGACCACAAACAAGAACTATTTGGTGACTTGCCTGCCAGAGGCCACAATGGCAGAGCTTATGAATAAACTAGAGAAACTGCCACCAAGTGCCCACAATCATGTTACTTGGTAACAACGGGATAAGGAAGTGTACAAGACAGGTCCTAGAAGCATAAATTCTAATGCATTTTACGTGCAAAATTAGTGCAACAGTAGGGTTGCAATTTTTAAATGCTCAAGCGTAAGGAAAGTTAATGTTTTCATAGCAACCATATGCTTATTTAAAAATCCTATCAAATTTAAGTAGGAAAACCAACAGTGCTGTATACAAATTTAACAGGGTGTTATAAAAATTGATGAAAGAATTTAAGAGCATCCATTCAAGAATGTAGCCAATTATAAACCTGCTCATCATCTCCATTGATCTGAAAAATAAACACGTTATTTTTGTTTCATTGTGCCACATGTAGCCTTTGTGAGTAACTGTGTAATCTTACAAACATTACTACTTTCCTTCCTCCTTTACTCCTCCCCGCCTGCCTTTTTATCCATTCACCCACCTCACTCCTTATGCATTTGTGGTTTTAAGTCCGTTGGGCCCTGGAACTCTCAAAGGGGGTGAATGGGCCATATCTATACCTCCCAGATTCTGGAATGGGCACAGTTTCCAGCATAATTTAGAACAGTCCTAGTGGCTGCTCTAATTTATGCTCATCAGCAGTAGCCACCTATGGTCTCTAGCACAATCTCAGACCATCTAGAATATAGTTCACTTTAGCCAGACAACTTCATTCCTCCCCCAACTCAACTTTTCCTAGACCCCAAACCACATGCTCCTACACTTGGGATACAACAGTGGGTGACATAGGGCTGTTCCATCATCTTTAGACTACAGACTCCTCCTTTTGGTAGGCTATTACCTGAAGAAGACATACACCAGCTTTACGGGCAGTACATGCCAACAGCGTTGTTATACAAGGGATTCAGGGAACCCCAGAATCAGGGTCCTTGTCTTTTAACTGTATGGCGAGGCACCTAGAGCTTTTCTGGCAGTGTTAAAATAAGTGATAACAATTACTTTAAAATTTCATCTCTAACGTTGCCTCAGACTAGATTTTCCTTTGATTTTTTCTATTCTAGAGGTTTGGTTTGTTTATAAAAAGGTGGCTCCCAAGTATCAACAGCTCCATGGCCCTCTGAAAGGAGCCAGAGTGTGCTCCTATCCACACCCAGCCAACTCTGCCATTAGGGCCACTTCCATAGTTGCTAAGCAGCAACTAGCAGCTGTGTCTTGTCATTGTCCTCCCCTATCTTTGCTCCTACTACCCGCTGCTCCTCTGGCCAGTGCAGTTCAACAAGGAAAACTGATGAAGAGGAGAGCAGAGCCTGTGTTGATCAGTAACCTGGGAAGCGGAGAAGAAAAATGTGCTGCTACTACCGCTGGCCCTACTAAATCTGTGGTGAAGTTGGTCCATTGACAACAAGGAAGATTAATTGGCCCTCTACTGCCTCTGACTACACCCAAGCTTGAGGAGATAGAAGAGGCCCCTAAAGAAGAGGCCCCTACTCTTTAGGCCCTGCACGGAGATCTGGGAAGCAGAAAGGACTGGGATAGAAGTCTTTGGGAATTATGGGTGCTCAGTAAAACCACTTATTTTAAGTGGCTGTATATAGCTGGAGATACTGAGTGTTAGGCACCTAAGTTTGAATGTTTTCCCCAAACTGACAGGGGTAGGTTCAGATCTTTGCTCTCCCCACAAGTAATCCCTATGGAGGGTAGATTCTCCTCCTTTCCCCCCTAGAGGGTAGTATTTCCTCCCCCCCCCCCCCCCCCCCCCATTTCCTACCTCAGAAGGGATTCGATAGAGGAGTTGCATCTTTGAAGCTGCAAGTGAATGCAGGCAGACAAGTGAGGCCAGGCAGGACCCCACCCCCAGAGAACCCCTGCTGACAATTTTCTGACACTTTCTTTAACCTGGATGTCACCTGGAAGATTGTACTGTCTCTGGTTCACACAGAGCTTAAATCTATGCTGTGGAGTGCACAAGATGAAAAAGAGCAGAGAGAAGGACAGACTCTTGGAGCATAAATGGAAGAGCAAGTTGATTTAGACAGAGAAGTGGAAGGGAAGCAGCATTGCCAACTCTTGTGAGTACTGTGCTCTTTGCTGGGTTTTTAAAAATTTCCGATCCTGTAGTCTTATGGTTATGCAACAATCTTAGTTTTAATTTTTATAAAAAGATGTTTCTATCACTAATGATTATATAGAAATGCTTGAAACCATAAACCATAAATATCAGAAGACAAATAAAAATAATCCCCTAATTTATTATTTTTTAAATCCTATGATTTTAAGATAATCTCATGATTTTTGAAAGCTTGGGGTTGACCATATTGAGGAAGGGCTGCAGAAAGAATTAAAAAGTCAAACCAAACAAGATGTGCCTACCTTCCTCTCCGCCATTTTACTTATCTCTTCTTTCTCCATTCTTGGTCTGTCTTGTCTATACAGATTGAAAGCTCTTTGAGACAGGGACTTAGTTCATCGTTGGGTTTGTTCAGTGCCCAACATGTTTTCAGCTGTAATATAAACAATAATGAAAATAATAAATACTAGGGGGCGGATCCCTCTGGTCACTGCGCTCATCAACCCTCCTCTCGCCCTGAAGCCGCCCCAGCCTCAGCCCTGCCCCCTCCCTCAGCTCTTTGCCCCCCCCCCAGCCAGCACTGGCTTTTTGCTCCTGCAGCTGGCCCTGGCA